TACTGTAATAATATTACTTTTTGCAGTAACTAGTAGTGTAACTAATTACTAATAAGATTTCAGTAATTATATTACAGTTACCATCCATAAAACAGCTTAGTTACTTAGTTACTTTTGATGCCTCAACCCCACTGATTTAAAATCCAACAATCAAATAATTCCTAGATTTATTTTCATAATTTTCACGACTCGTGCAATGTGATGTCCCCAGTGCAGCAGGCAAGCTTGGAATATGGAAAAGCTCACATTCAGCTGATAGACATGTTACTTTATATTGATTTTGTCAGGAAAAAAAGATGATCTGAACACTTTTGTGTAAATTGTGGCTTTACATTACTCTGGCATTACATCCCACCCACATCCCTCTGATCAGCATATGGTACATTATATAATAAAAAATATTTTTGGAATCTTTTTGGCAGTTTCTTACAAACTTATGTGTTTGATAAAATACATAATGAAAGCTTCAAGCTACACATGACAATTAATGAGATTAATACAACACTTGTACTTGAATGTCACTATCAATCACTATTGAGTGTTTGTAATAACTTCTGACTGCGATCCAATGTGGATTTTGGTCAAATGATGAGGCAGAAATATGTGCATGTGCAATAAAAGACAGAGCTGCAAAATGACTTCATGAAGATCAACCAAAATGTCTTCCTATACGCACATGTACAAGGGAAAATATGGTATTATGCTGTTAAATAACAGTGTCATACTGGTGCTGGTCAACTTTGTCCCACAATGCATTGCAAAAAACAGTAACTTACCGTTATTACATGAAAACAGCATTTTACTGTTAAATTTCCTTGTAAATTTACAGGATTTTTTTTACAGTGTGGGTAAAGGGGTGGTTTCGATAGAGCTTTAGCTTTTAAAAACCTGCACCAGAGCAAGGGTAGGATCACTTAGCACTGATCCAAACACCACAAATTGTAGTGCCAAAGGTATACAGTGTGAAACAATGCAGTGCCAGTATATTACAGTGAGTTGTTTAGCAACAAATAGCTAATCATAAACTAAATTGTGATTACTAACTATAGTGTTAAATATGAACAATGTAAAACAAGATATCCCAGAGTTATGTTTAGGATCTGGATTAACAATTTCAAATGAGAAAAGCTTTATCTTTGATTATTTCCCTGCTACAGTTCCCAGCCCAATTTAATGTTTAATTTTTTTCCTAAGGGCATTTCAATTAGCATCTGTTGATATTATGTGTGTCAGACGAGATTATGAAACCCAGTGGAAAGACATGTAGCTGTTGTTGTGTTTGATGTGTAATATTTCTTTGTGATGTGTTTGGATTTCAAGCTGTCTAGACAATCCGGCAAATGAGAAGATCTTCTGCACAGGCAGATAAAGGAGATGGACAGACTGAGAGAGTAATGAGAGAGGGAAAAATAGGAAAGGATAGAGACAGAAGTCAGGAGAGGTATGAAAATGGTACATACAGTAAGTTGTAGAGCTGGAGCAGATTCTTTTAGATGACACCGTATCACCACACTGCAGGAGGATTGTTTGTGTGTGTTCATACACAGAAATGTGTGTGTCCAGGAAGGTGTTTCACCCAGTGTTTAAAAACCTACTTTGAAACTGAAGCTTAAGTTACAAGTAATTCATATTAAAGATAGTTTAACTGCACTACAAAGGCGATATAAGCTAACTACACTTTTATTTAAACTTGAAATGGAATCTATGGTGTGTGAAAATTGATATGGACTAAAATAATTGATATGGATTCAAATTCAACTAAAGAAACATAATCTGTTAAAGTTAATGCATTTTTGCCATCATAGAGAAGTACAGAATAGTCAGGCAATCCTTTTGAAAAATGAGCAAACTACACTGAAGCTGTTTGACTATTTGTTGATGATGGTGATACACGGCAGCATTTGAATGTGTTTTGTGAATTTATATGTAAAAATAGTTTAAATATTTGAAATGTAAACCATTCAATATTATTTTCTCAAATGAAAAATAATTTGAATCGGAGTTCATTTTAACGCACTAAATTGTCTTTGCTTGCCGTTAAAGCTAAAAATAGTGATACACAGCAACATTTAAAATGTTGTAAAATTTTTATTTAATAGGATTTTATATTATTTGACTCTGGACCACAAAACCAATCATAATGGTAAATTTTTGAGATATATACATCATCTGAAAGCTGAATAAATAAGCTTTCCACTGATATATGGTTTTAGGATAGGACAATATTAGATACAACTGTTTGAAAATCTGGTATCTAAGGGTGCAAAAAAAATCTAAATATTGAGAAAATTGCCTTTAAAATTGTCCAAATAAAGTTCTTAGCCATGCATATTACTAATCAAAACATTTTTATAAAAGTTTTGATATATTTACGGTAGGAAATTTACAAAATATCTTCATGGAACATGATTTTTACTTAATATCCTAATGATTTTTGGCATAAAGAAACATTTATAATTTTGACCCATACAATGTATTGTTGGCTATTGTTACAAATATACCCGTGGATTTGTGGTTCAGGGTCACACACACACACACACACACACACACACACACATACATAAATATGCAGTGGGGGAAAAAAGTATTTAGTCAGCCACCAATTGTGCAATATATATATATATAATTTTATTTGAATGCATTTTATTATTTTCTCAGTTTGCTGTAAAGTTACTGTGAAATGCAATCCTGTGAGTAGTCTACAGCCATGTAACATTTTCTTGCAGCTGGAAAAGCTACTCTGTTTTGTGCCATTAAACTGCAGTTTTTAGTTTGTAACATCTCTGCTTTTTGCTAGTTACTCCAAACATCGGGTTCACCTTACGGTGAGCGTCTAGTGATGCTCAAGATGCACTCTGCTAATTACCTCAGTCAGAGATGGACAGGCAGAGAGGGACAGTGTTTGCGTCAGGCAGCACAGTCTCTCCGTGTGCCTGTTGAATGGGTCATTAAGTACCCAACACAGTTCCCCACGGGGGTCTTGACGTCCTCTGTAAGTGTCCCTCTCTTCAGCAGTCTTAATGTTCCTGATTAATGCTCTTGCCAGGCTGGATATGGTGTATATAGATGCTCATGGGAAGGGCATGTTGCAGTGAAGTTAGATTGACCAATGTTCTCCACACACTGTCAGCCTGTACAACCAAACCAATACCCTTCATGGGTTGCCAGAGCACCTCTAAGGATCTCTGGCTCTTGTGGGAGATTTACAATCTGTAAATGAGGAAGTAGAGAATACAATTGTCGATGTGAAACTGCAAATTGGTCTATTATGTCATTTATATGGGCAGATCCAAACAATTTAACAGATTTAACAGGTGTTTAACAGATATAATTGCTGTGGGGAATTATAGTACTATTTAAGTTCACTGCAGTTGGTCATTATTACAAGCCAAGACGTAATTTACATTTAGTCACTTTTTCCAGTGCCGATTTTGTCCCCACATTTTTATGACATAGCTCACAGCAGGGATATATATTTAAAGATGACAGGTGTTGTTAACTGGACCAACAAGTCATATATTGGTTTTTAATTGCTGATCTGTGTGTTTATCCACTGACCTCCAAAACCCATGTGTGGCAGATATAAGAATTAAGTTTACAAATTAAATACGCATTTGAGCACTTAAATTGTTCAGCAAGAACAGTTGCCCATTCAAATCACTATGTACATTTACTTTAAACATGGTTCTTTTCTGCAGACGCAATGTATTACACAGACTTTATTTTTTAAAACAGTAATAGATCATTTTAAATCACGTGTGCACAACCTAATTATCTGTAATATACACTACCACTTTTGTTTTTGAAAGAAGTGTCTTATGCAAAGGCTGCAATTATTTTATAAAAATTCAGTAAAAATATTAACATTGTGAAATATTATTACAATTTTAAACAACTGTTTTCTGTTTCAATGTATGTTGTAATGTAATTTATTTGATTTGATTTTGAGTTCACACGTATAATTATGTTGTAGCCATTATCACAATTCAACTTATTGCTCATTTCACAGGGTTCAGTGTGCACTGTATAATGGATACAAAAAAATAAAGTTAATCACAACTCATATACTGTAAATGCACCATTGACTTCCCCCAATCTCACAAATAGAAAAGCAGTGTAAAACTTGACTAAGAAGTTTTCACTTAATTAAGAAGTGACATTTCTTTGGAAATCTGTGTTTTCTGTTTGTCTTTTAAAACAGTTAATGTGAAAAAAGCTGGAATTGATTCCTGGTATACTCTGAGCAGTTAGCAAATGAGAACTTGATGAAAGCTTGGCTACTGACTGCAGCTACTAAATAGCAGTCTGGTATTGACAAGTATGATGCTCTGGAAAATGGCACAGCATTAGGGAAATCTCACAAACAACCGGCACTCTTTCATTTTAAGCTGATGGGCAGCTGCTCAAAAATCAAGCCATGCCATTGGTCCATATCCACATCTGTTGTTTTTAAAGAAGCCCTCAAGTTGATTGGATGAGATGTGGTTCTCTCCGCCAGGTATTATGAAAGTTAATAAAAATGAATTAATTTGCTGCAACAGAAGAACTTGACCACTTAGCTTATTTCTGTCTTCTTCTATCCCTCCATCTGCTTAGCTTCTTTCAACCTCAAAGCCTGAGAAATCTAGACATCCAAACACACTCATTATCAACAGCAACTACTCCCCCACCGACTGTAGTCAGAAATAAATACTTGGACAGACCAGTCAAAGCCCATCCAATCTCTCTTCTTCCTCATTAAAGCTCAGAATAAAAGCGAATAACAGCGGCACAAAAAACCCACAAAGGCCAGACTGTTTTTCACATATTGCACTGATTAGCACAAAAAGAGGCCTCATTTTTTTGCTCTTTCAAAATTTGAAATTGTCACCAGGAAATTGGAGCGAAAAGTAGGCTGACACCTTGGCCAGGGCTGCAATTTTCTTTAATTTAGTGCTGCTATGAATACAGTGTTGCTTGAATGCTTTGTCTGCTGTCTGATTTGTATTCCTGTCTCTCAGGTGTCTGAAAGATGTGATTATGTGTACGTCAACGGCAAGGAGACGCATGGGAGGGTGAGGATGATGGTGAACTTCACCTACAGTTACCTCAGCGCTCAGCTGGAGGTGAGCGTATGGATGCCACGACTCCCCCTGCAGATCGAGATGTCCGATCCAGAGCTTAGCCAGATCAGGAGCTGGAGAGTTCCTGTAGATGCTGCCAACCAGAGGTTAGCGAAGTTTTTGTTTCAAGGAATCACATTTGACCTTGGGTTCATTGGGTTCATTACTATTGAAGCATATTGTAATTTGCAAATACAATATATTATATGACCAAAAAATAACCAAATTATGGTGCTGCAAATGAAAAATCTTTATTGGTTCCTAAAGACCCTTTAAGTGAAAAGTCTAAAAAACCCTTTACCACTGCAAAGGATGGGTTTGATGGGTTTTATGGATGCTAAAGGTTACTCATGGAAACACACAGGCCAACAAACAATCTTTATTTTTGAGAGTTACAATTATATAACTTCTATAAATTATAATTGAGATAAAAAGAGCCTGGAAACTATGTTCTGTCAAGTTGTATAATCTTTAGCTGAGCAGACAATATCCTGCACAGCCCACACATGTTATGTAATATGGTTCTGCTGGTAATTTGTAAGCGCAAAGATTTTATACATTACTGTAATAAGTCTCTCAGTACTGCACAGCACCAATGACGCTCCAGCTCACCGGTGTCAGTCTGCCCTGTCTTTATCCAGCCTCTCCTCAGCCATTTTTATGCTCTGTCGTTCTTGGGTAACAGCAGACGTGTTGCGGAGCTCCCTCTGGAAAGCATGATGGAGGAGAGGGGAGGATGCGGACGGTGACTTTTTAATTACCGCTGGGTCGTCTTCAGGCACACCTGCCTCTGACGCACCAGCACCAGACAACACACAGGTTAATGCTGCCGTGCGCTGCGGATATCCACAAGATAATTTTTAATTACTCTTCCACCAGAAACAATCCTGCCGGATTGACTCGTGCATGATAAGTGAGAACAGGATGACGGATGACAGATGGAATGAGCGGTGGAGAAATTGCGAGGCATTGATGAGTCTTGTGGAATAATTGTGGTTATACTAGAAGTTGTGTGGTTGTCAGCAAGCAAATGCGTTGATTGCACAATGATCGCTTCTCCATTATCTCAGTATGAAGATTCTATGACCAGACCTTCTCTTGCACCAGTCCACTTGGGAATTTAAGCATCTCTGAGCTTCCTCTGTTTTAAAAAAAAAAAACCTGAGAAAGTTCAGCAATCATAAATATTTCTTACTTACCATGAAACTGTAATATGGTCTGTCTCTTTATGCTGTCGTGATTCTAGTGACAAACAAGTCATTTTGTGGCTCATAGCATCTTGTTTGAGTCTCTATTATCTATTACGTCATTATTTTGTTCCTGATGTAATCATTTGATGGTTTTTGGTGATGAATATTCCATATTATGTGTTGCCACTTAGAGTTCTGCAGGAAATAAACTCTAGACAAACATTCAACTTTCCATTGCAGAAAAGGCTTTTTGTAGTGGAAAAATTATTTTGACTATTAAAAGGTTCTTCACACTAAGAAAGACAATAAAAGGTTTTTGGGGGACACCATTGTTCTTCAATGGTATCACTGTGAAAGTTCTTACTGGTACCTGGATCTCCTAGATGAAATATATTTTCTACTGAAGCTAAAGCTGAAGATATTAAAAGATGCACAGATGTTTTTGTTAGTAGTTGGTCTGTATATCAATGTAAATTGTATGCATTAAAGTTCTTAAAAAGGTAGTTTACCCAAAAATGCTCACCCTCATGCCACTCCAAACCTGTATGACTTAATTTCTTCTGTGCATTAAATGTATTTTGAAAAATGTCAGTGTGGTTCAATGTTGTTTTGGACTTCTTCAAAATACCTTCTGTTTTCCACAAAAAAATGCATCATACAGGTTTCGAACAACATGAGGGAATACATTTTGACTGAATTGTTATTTATGCGTGAGCAGTTCCTTTAAGATAGTGGCCAGCTGGCAAGTTGCGTTCATCAAAAACCCATGTTTACTCACATTTGACACTTGACGAGTCTTAAATTTGCACCCTTGTTGTATCATATGTGCCCTTGGTCCTGAGGTTGTATCTGTCTCAGATAGCGTTTTGAGAGCGGGAAACATGCGGTTGTGTTGTAAGACTGGGTCTCATTATTCCTGAGACCTCCGGTGACCTGACATTCCTCAGCTGAGTGCCGCCTGCCCTGTTTATACACCTGTGTTCTGTAAATGTCATGCTGTTTCTACCGTCGGTCAGGCGTCGTTGTGTAAAAGTCTAGAGGAGCGTGGCCTCCCCTCTGGTCAAAGCCACCATGTTAACCTGCCACTGCTGTTGTTTTTTATTTTGGATGACTTCGACTCATTAAAAATAATGGAACCGTCAGCGCTGCCCCCCCTTCCCCTTTCACCTGGTGCTGGGCTGTTTGTTGTGAGGAGAGGAAATGCATCACTGTAATGTGAAAAGGGTTCACGTTTACAGCCTGTTGAAGCGACTCTGAAAACTGAAGCGATGCTGAAAACTGCCGCTGCTCTATATTTATATAATTTCTGTTTTTTTTTTCATTTCTGTTTTTTCTTAGAAAGTAAATTCAGAGTAAATGTAAGTTTTTGTTTTTACACTTTTAAGTTACGTAAATCTTTAAGGCAGCAATTTTAGAATACAGTAGATTGAGAACAGAATATGATTTTTTTTCAACCATTTAATTTTTTTTATAATTCTGTCATTTCTACTTGAATTTGTCAACCAAATTCTTCCTCAGAAAATTATTTCAGAGTTCCTGAATGTATTTTATATATCAATAATTGCTTCATCAAAAAAAAAACTTCAAAGACACCAGCAAGCACTTAGACACTTTAAATAGAATAGAATAGAATAGAATAGAATAGAAAATGTTTTCAAGCTTTTAATTTTTCACAGTTCTTTAGTTTTTTATACTTGTGTCAACCAGAATATTCATCAGATAATAATTTCAATGTGGTTGAAAGTCCAAGATTAACCTATTTATAGAATATAATACAATATTATATGTTTGAAACTTTTCTTTGTTCTTGACCATCTAATTTCACATTGATTTTGTCGAGTATGTGTACATACATATTTGATTTTTTAAATAAAAAATAAAGATTCAAAATATTAATTTGAATCTTTGAAAATAAAACTTTGAAAATAAATTTTGATTTTACCTAAAAATATAATTTTTCTTACTAATTTTGTTCTGTTTATTTTTTATGTTTTATATATAAACATTTTTTACTTTTTAATGTTTGATTGTTCTAAAATAGAATAGAATAGAATAGAATAGGAAATGTTTTTCAACCATTTAATTTGTCTCACGTCTTTTGTCTTTTCTACTTGATTTGAGTGTCAACCAGAATATTCATCAGATAATAATTTTAATGTGGATTAAAGTCCAAAATTAGCTTATTTAATTTTAATGGGTTGATTTTTTTGTTAATAAAATATAATATAATATAATATTTTATGTTTGAAAATTTTTGTTGTTGTCAACCATCTAATTTTACATTGATTTTGTTGAATATGTATATACAGACACACACACACACACACACACATATATATATATATATATATATATATATATATATATATATATATATATATATATGAAATTAAGATATTAAGATATGACTTTTTTACATACAATATATATATATGAAATTAAGATTCAAAAAATTCAATCTTTGAAAATAAATTTGATTTTATCTAAAAATATTATTTTTCACACTAATTTTGTTCTGTTTATTTTTTATTATAGATTTTATTTATAAACATTTTTAACTGTTTAATGTTCTCATTTTGGAATGAATAGAATAGAATAGAATAGAATAGTCCTGATTGGAAAATAATGCTTAACCGGGCACAGCAGGATGGGATGTAACATGTGGTATTGGTTGCTCTTTTTACTGCAGGTCTGGAGAGGATGACGGGGATGAAGGAGCCAAGAAGGATCAGAGCTGTGGTCCACAGTACCAGAGCACCACCGTCCGTGTGCTCACACACTTTGAGGCAGAGCCAGAGGAATGGCAGGGCCAGCCAGACTTCCTCTTGGGCAGTGATTGGCAGGTGGACGTGACAGAGTTAGTGAGAGACTCTTTAAGGGTGGTGGATGAACGCTTGGCCAAGCTGTCAGAAGAACAGGTCCTCATCGGTCTGAACACAGGCATCACCAAGGTTCAGGTGAGAAACAGGAAGAATCTACTGTATGTAGGGCTGCACGATATATCGTTTCAGCATCGATATCGTGATGTGCGATTCCACGATAGTCACATCGCAGGATGTGCGATGTTTAGTGTACTGAACGTTATTCCGTATGTACCAGGTACCAGGGTTCAAAACGCAGGTGATTCTTGGATTAATTGCAAAGTTTAACCATCATACAGTGAAGGTTCATCATTTGCATCTGTTTTAGGTCCTGTCAGTTTAAACATTCGAGCGCGAAATAGAGCTCAATTATGAACACACACGCTGTTTACTTTGCTCACACACAGACACCGTGTCTACACTGCAAGTCTGTCTAAACTTGATGCGACAAAGCAAAGGTTGAAAATCATTTGAACTTTGTGTCAGTACGTCATAAATAGAACAAGGCATCAGTTTACTGTTGGGGATTTGTCGTGTCGTGTAGCGCCGCGCTGCTCGCGTCCAGTGTAGATGCACTTCAGTTCACTTCAGCGTCTGTTTGTGCCTGAAATGGCACATAGCCTACACGTGAAATTATGTCAGAATGCATGACTCTGCAAGTATCCTTGTAAACACAGTTGCTTATGGCTTAGGTGAAGGTAAACAATTGAGAAAGAAAATGGATGTGTAACTAACAGTATATTGGTTCACAGCAGATTAATGTTCCTGTTGCTTTATGTCATGTTAATCAAACAACAAAACAGAACTTTTTTAGCTTTAACACAGATATATTAGATTTTATTTATACAGCGAAGACTATGCAGTGTTATTTTACATTTGATTATTCCATTTCTGTACCTGAATACTGTTAGACTTACCTGAAAAATATAAAGCACTGTTTATTTCATTTGTATCTTTGTTCTATTATATGTGTCTATGCTTGTACTTTGTTTATTTTATATGCTGATTTACTCACCTACAAAATCACTCCAATCATTGATTATTTTTTTCCAAATAGAGCTATTCAAGTCATCTGGTGATTTTTATTATTATTTTTTTTTTTCATATCGATATATATATTGCAGAAAAACTATTGCAATGTGAACACAAACTGTATGTGTGATTATGTTTAAAAGTGACATGATGTACTATTAAAAAAATTAATATCTTCACAGAAAATGAAGACCACGGCTGCATTACTATAATAATCTACTAAATCTATGAATTTTTGGCATTATTAAATCTTTTTCCATGATTCATTTGTTCTAGCATATTATGCAATTTCCTCAACACACCACAACCAGAGCTGCCCATTTTGTCAGGAACAAAACTGACAGTTACAGCTGACTAAGCCGCAGTTCCCTTGTGTTTATACTGCATGAATAAAATGTGAGGACGTCCTTGTTTTCTTTGGAAAATCCTGGCTGTCATTTGTCTCTTTCTCTGTGTGGATGAGAGGTGAATCAGTCCGAGTTGTGATGTGACATGTGTACGCTGTCAGACGAGAGCTAGACAGCACACCATCTCTCACTCCGCTCTGTCACAGCTTGTGTGCTGTCTGTCTGCACATCTCACAGCTCTTATGACAAACGATAATCTCCTTTATTAAAACCTACGAATTAAGGGTCAGTCTGTGAAAATAACACATTTTTTTCTTATATACATTCACACATAATACACCTGCTCGACAAGCTAAAGTGCCATTAGAGTGCTATCTGACAGCAAAAGTATAAGCCAGAGCCACAGGTGGAGAGTGCTTCGATTTGATCCATTTGCTGAAAATTAAAATCAGACAAAAAGTCCAGTAATGGTGGGATGGAGTCTGCAAACAAGTGCTGCTTTATAGATCCAGATCTCTGAAATCAAAAACCCACCACTTAACCACGGCCAAATTACCAATCGTCCACCTTGCTATTAGACCAAACTTGCTATTTAATTTCAACAGGGGCCCACCTGTTTTTGCAATTCATTAAAACTAAATTGAATGACTAATTACTTGCAATTAGAAGAGGGAAAATACTTGTTGTTTCAAAATCAGAGCAAGAATTGGTTTCAAAGTAGACTATTTGGAAGAAAAGATTTGTTGAAGTAGTGTAGCAAGCACTAACTTCTCTATTTATAAAAAGTGGAGCACTGGGGTAGCGTCTTACGCAATATTGGGTAATGCCCGAGGCTCCCCTTGCTTATTCTTATTTTATGTCTAATTAATAAATCTCTCAATTCAAATGGCAAATTAGGATGCGCTCGGAATAAGAGCGGAATATAAAAACAGAACACGAATTGTTACTTTACCTTAACATGGCTGCATTTTAGAGTGAAAAACTGTTGCCTGTGGACTTCCAGATAGTGTGCAAATGATGGTTAGAAGCAAGTGCGGGCCGTGCGCGTGGGTGACAGTAGAAGTTCCATTTACAGATAGGAAGTAAATGGCTTCTGACATTACATTATAACATAATGAATGTGGAAATACGGAGGTGGCGGCTTTGCTATTAATTGATCCAGATAGGAAGTCTTCTCATCACATTTCGTATCGAAGTCATTTCCTTGCCTGTGTGTCAGATATCGCCATATGGCCGAGGGCAGACAGCTGTCATTTAGATTCTTGAAATTGCATGTAGCCTACTCATTTTTTCTTGTCACAAAGTTTGTATGAGAAACTAGGAGAGAATTTTCAGTTGTTTTACAGTGTTATGTAACAGAAGCATATCTGTCTGCGTTTTTATCCAGGTGATGTCCCCATTGTCAGACTCTGTTCTGGCTGAGAGGATGATCCGAGTTCTGGATGATAAAGTCAGTATTACGGAGCTGGGCGTGCAGCTGGTTTCTGGCCTTTCCTTGAACCTTCAACTCAGCCCAGGAAGCAACAGGGCCATTGTGGCCACAGCTACCACACAGGAGACCATGCACAGTGTAAATCAGGTAGTCTAATTTATATATATATATATATATATATATATATATATATATGATATTAATAATGTTTGTTGTTGTTGTTTTTAATTATTATTATTATCAGTTATTTATTATTATTTAGAATAATACATATTTTTCAGCATTGTTATTTGTTTATTATTATTATCAATTTAATTTGTATTCTATTATTGTTTAATTAATATTATTAATTATATTTTTTCATCTCAGTTTTTTTTGTAGAGTGGTGCACAGGGTATCCACTGTGAAATCTCATTGAATATTTTAGCCACATGCCGTTAAATTGCGAATTGTGTTCTGGTTCTCAGGTCTCAGTTTTGCATACAGTACTTCCGTGTCCATTTCTCCGTAATGTAGGGTTGTTTTATCCATGAGGTGCAATCACTATAATCACTGTCATTATGGACAAAGTAATTTGACATGGGCCGCATGTTGATGAGGAGCTGCAGTTTGTTAGTGGATCCTGCTGCTCAGGGCTGCCCACTTATTCTGAGTCATCTCACATTTAAAACCCTTTCTGATTAGTCTGATTTCACTAATCCTTTGCATCTGCAGGGGTTTCCTCTCTTCTCCACATAGATAGACATAAAACAGGCAGATTGGTTGAATCTCCCGCTGATTGGCGCGTCTGTTCTCTTTGAATTGTGGTTTTGGGGACTTTTAAAGCTTTTGAACGCTCCTACAATGGGGTTAAGAAGCATGCATAGTTGATGCAAGAAATTAGCATTACCTGAGAGCATCTGTTCATGTTGTGTTTCTCTTCCAGGAGTCCCTTGTCAGTGCGTGGCTTCAGTTCAGCGATGGCTCCATGACCCCTCTTGACCTCTATAACCCTGCTCATTTCGTCCTTACGGCCACCTCACTGGACGACCAGGTGGTGTCAGTGAAGAAAAGCACCAACTGGAGGTGGCCAGTGGTGGTGGCTAGGGGTGAAGGTCAAGGCATGTTGGCCCGTTTGGAGATGTATGGACCCGAATCGTGCCAAAAAACCAAACGGCGCACAGTTCTGGCCGCAGGCAACGCAAACGTCCATGTGAAGTTTGGCCGTGAAGAAGAGACCGGAAACAGCGCGAGCGACAGGAGATACAGGCCCAATGCCCCATACTACGGCGGTTCGATCTCAGACATGGAGGCTGGAATCATGAACCGAGGCGCTACCACCATAAAAACCTCCATTCCAGGAAAAGCAAGCGGCGACAGGCTCTCAGCTGGTGATATTCCGGTGGATTTCTCTGATTTCCCAGCTCAAGCAGACCTTCCACCTGGACGGAACGCAGAGGACGACCTGCTGCAGTCTCGCCGCGGGCTTACAGACCTGGAAATAGGCATGTACGCCCTGCTAGGTGTCTTCTGCCTGGCCATCCTGGTATTCCTAATCAATTGCGTCTCCTACGCCCTCAAATATCGCAACAAGCAGCTCCCATTGGAGGGCCAGGAGACCATGGCTCACGCCCACGACTGGGTTTGGTTAGGCCATGACGCTGAGCTGTTGGAAAGCCAGGCGGGTTTGTGTCTGGATCAAGAGGAGTTGGGAGGCACCATGGACTCTGGGCTGGGCCTGGAGGAAGGTAGCCAGCTCCTCAATGGCCTTTCGTCTCAGAAGAGTGTTCAAGGCCAGGTCCACAGGTCGGCCTCTGACTCAGGGTGCACTGGAAGAGATCACAAGACCGAGTCCATAAACTCACCCACTACCAAAAGGAAACGGGTCAAGTTCACTACTTTCAGCCATAGCAAGCCCAGCAATGGCTGCCCATCCATAAGCCCGCTTCTCATTGGTCAGAACGACATCAAATGGGTATGCCCAGACATCGAGCTCGGGGACTCCAAAGAGCTCCGAAATTACATGGAAAGGTTAAACGAAAATGCTACTAAGAACATTGCATAGTGGGCTTGTAGTTATGTATTTTTCAGACAAAAGCTTAGCTCACCCATATGCCTTCTAGGTAAGGAGGTGGTGGTGGTGGAGTGGAGGGTGGATGGGTTGGCCTGACTCTTCTACACTCAGACAAACTCACATCTCACCATGAAAAGACAAGCCATTCATCTGGTCTTGTTTCCATGGCAACTGTCATGAGGGTTCATCATCAGGAACGAAGGAAAACAGAGATGGTTGTGAAGCCGCTGAGGATGTGAGAACATTGGATTATGAGAAATATTTCAATTGAGATGTCTATATTTTCTTTTTTCAAAGAAGAGGATTTTCCATTTCTATATTAAAAAATATATATATTTTGTTTTTTTTTCTTTCTTTCTTGTTTTATCACACTAAAGCCTGGTTGGTGGTGGTACCTTTTTGTGAGTGAATATCTCAAAGAGCTGACATTTAAACATATCAGTTGCGTGCTGGAAACCCAAGCATTTCCACAAATTGAACATTGACTGGCTCTGATGATGTGTGAGAATACATTTTGTAAGGTTTTACATATTTTTATACATCTCTGTTCCTGTCCGTGTTAGTGCGTCTACTGTATTTCTCCAAAGACTGACTACTATATGTAAAAGCATGTGAATTCAAAGTATGGACAAAAAAATTTCTATTTTGGAACTTTTTCCACCAACAGTTTGAATGAACATTCAATATACTGCGGAAGACTTCTGGGAAAACAGGCAGATAAATGACCCTCCATGTCACTTTGAGAACTGTTGAGCAAATTGTATTGTTGTAGGTAGTGTTATCAATATTGTATAATATGTTGTTTACAGTATTATAATGATAGATGGTATGCACTCCAATTGCTTATGTATGTGTGCTATAAGGTTTTGTTTTCTTTTTTCGTTTCTTTGATTTGCTTTGCTTTTTTGTTCATTATGCTTACTTTTTCCCCTTACAGTGACTGCAGTCTAGAACAAGAGATATCTAACCTACCCAAATGACTGTCCTTCTGATTAGTGTAATGATTAGGTTAAAGTTAAGTGGATTGGATGAGTTTGAGGGTGGAGTCCTCAGGTAATGTGATCGATGCGGTGCATACTTTGGTAAGAACACCACAGGACAGTTTTATGTGAATAAATTGATTAGTCAAACACTCTATCTATATTAGTTTACTATTTCTAACCATCATACAGAATTTAATCAATACTCAATTACCCTTAACACAATATATTTTCTAAACCATTCTCACTAAGATAATGTGTGCCGACTAATTCCTCAGCCAGGTGTGTTGGCAATGATGTCCATAAAAAAAATTAATCAGTCCAACTGGATCATCCAAATGTCTTATTTAAGACTGTAAAATCTAATTAAGATTATAAATTGTATTAATTAATTCTCTCCACTCTTCCCTGCTTGTCTTGTATTTTATGAAACGGAAACATATTTTTGAAGACCACAGAAGAATAATTGTACATGAGGAGGTTCATCCAGTGTTCAAGACTGTCTGGTGTTCACTTGGAATACACAGTGCCGGTTAGTGGTACTATCAAGACAATACTCTCAAAAAATATTTTGCTTATATGTGATGATTCACTGTTTATGTACACTCTAAAAAATGCTGGGTTAAATATAACCCATCACTGGGTTAAAAAGGGACAAACCCAGCTATTGGGTTGTTTTGACCCAGCGGTTGGATTCAAAACAACCCAACCGCTGGGTCAAAACAACCCAATAGCTGGGTCAAAACAACCCAATAGCTGGGTTTGTCCCTTTTTAACCCAGCGCTGGGTTATATTTTTCTAAGTTATTTTTTTCAATGCAAAGCATCTAAAAATTCAGTTTCATTTTTTATTCGATTGTAGTCTGTTTTGTGAGCTGAAAAGCACCGCCAATTACCACAAACAATGTGAAAACCATTTTTAAATTTATGCATTACATCACTGGGTTTTCTATTTGCATATTAAATAAAGCATCACATCCTGCTTTTCCACTTTTTACCAGTTGATGGCACTGAATTCTAACCCCAGTTGCCTCAAAGGGAACATGCAGATTTTGATGGTCATTCTCCTTGACAGGCGCATGACCCAAGTCTTCAAATAAAGGTTGCGTGTTTAAAACTGCTGAACTATACTGTAAATGCGCAAGTACAATGTTGCGTCTCAACCTTATAATAAATGTTCTCAGAGCAGACTGTAATTTCACCCCATTGCACTGCAGTAAACAACAGGCTTTAACGAGAAGTGTGTTGTTGCGCCGTCTGAGCACCATGTAATTCAAAGGTTATTGCAGACACAATAGCCCTGGATGTGAGCTATAGTCCATTTCTTCAACCCTGCACATTAAAGGCTCATTAGTGCTAAACTATACAGGCAGGATCCCAATTCTGGATGGGGCTGCTCCCTCCCCTCTGAGACAGGCCAGACTAATTAATGATCAGTGCGGTGAGTCTTTACTCCATGTTAATTTGACATTACCATGCAACCCTTCGCGCTAAATGATTGTATTCATTTAACTGACAGTGATCTGACATTTAACACCTTCTTCATCACATGTGACAAAGAAGCGTGACTCCACCTCGTCCATCTCCACAAACGTTTGATCTGCCACTTGGGTAAATTTTTGACGTGTATTTCCAGAGAATGTTTCATAGCTTATTGATATTTCCCGACAAATCCTGTTAATTTATCTTTCATTATTATAACTAGAATGCAAACAAATGAAAGGACGAACATGTCAACACAACAAAGAGCCATGATTTTCCAAAGGCGCACAACTTTATCCAAGGTGGCGACCAAAACAATACAAGTTCATTAGCGGAAATCATATACGCATGCTTAATATCGTTCCCGGTGGGACAACTCTTTTTGAGATCCAAATTGAGAGGCTGCACACTTAACCCTCAGAGGGATGCTTCTGGAATTGGGTCTGTTTTTTCCTTTTATCTCAGCTGATATTTTGGTATTTGGGTCTCTGTTCTCTCGTCTCGGAGGAATTACGCGAGAACGCTCTAAATTAAATCATGACATTAGCTGGTGTCTGTCAGAAGTGTATATTGGCTAATGTCATAGGCTGGTTATTATCTGCATGAAAAGTTTCTTTCTTTCCTTTCTCGAGCTCTCTAGATTTGATAAAACAAAGGGTGAGGAAAAAACAAAACCTTTCAACTTCCCATTAGCTGAGTTTTCACGAAGAGCATCTTGCTGTAATCTTGCCTTCTGCTAGTTAACAACGTTGGCATTGCTGTAAATGTCAACAGAGTTGTCAGTATAATGCCAGCACTGCTCTCACAACAAATGAAGACGGACGGCCAAACCTTCCGACGTGCGAACAAATTTATAGGTCTAAATATGAACATGGTAATGTAAAATGCACGATATAGACTTAATTTCCCACTAAGTGGTTGGCTCAGGTCTATAACTTTACAATAAACCTTTCGAGACTCATCATAAATGTCAGTCAATGCCAATTTATGAACTGTCAATCATTTTGGGAGTCTGGAAGTTGTTGCGCCATTCATTTTCGCCCAGATAAGAGTCCATGACATGAACATCGGCTTTTACGAGAACTGGCACAGCAGCGCATGCTCCATATATTTTGGATGTTTTTCCATGTCTAACAACAAACCGTCTCTGGCCTGCTTTTATCTGCTGTTCAAAGAGGAGCTTCTCACTGTTCGACTTCTAGTAACAGCGTGACAGACCATAGTAAAGCAGCTGATAGAAGCAAAGTATATAGGAGACGAGAGAGTCTACACACCATATGTTGCTCCATTTCACTATTAAAGCTGAACCAATACTGCAGCCATCTCTGGCAGCACCAAGAAGATAGAACATGGCTTTTATCATTGTTGTTTTTTTCCCCCGGATATTGTTCCAGTGTGTTAGGTTTAACAATGCAGTTCCTTCATATGGATGTCTCTTGTTCTTTAAGCGAAGACATTTGCTTGAAATTGTGTGGATGCTGAAAAAGGATTATGTGATAATCAGAGCCGTGCAGTAGTACGATTTCTGTCATTAAGTTGCATTATCTGCTTAGACACCAACAAGCAGTGGCCCAGAGAATTGTTTGAACACTTAAGCTGCACTTAAAGAGAATTTTTTTGCACAAGAGCATTAAGACAAGTCCAAATATTCTCTTCATTTGGTCTCTAAATATACTGTTTATAATTTAATCCCAACCAACAAATGAAGAGTTTATTTGCAAAAACAGATAGGCTAATATCGTTTTTTTTTTTTTTTTAAATATCATGTTTTTTAATATGTTATCATGCTTTTATTGTGTTTTGTGTTAGTTAGCTGTATTTCTTTGTTATTTTTACCTAATCAAAATAACCCAACTGTAGTTTGATTGAGATTAATTGGAATGCACAATGAAAAAACATGATTTTTGAAAATTGTTTTCAAATTGTTCTCTGTTTTTTGCAAATTAACTCTTCAAATGTCTTATTATGAAATATTTTGCTTTAAAATGCTATATTTTAAATGATATAAACTCCTTTAGGTTTCATATTTTGAGTTCTAGCCCTTGAATTTGATTGGCTGAGAGGCATTCCAGATATTATTGTAGTGGTCCATAATTTTTTTCTGCAGGTTACATCATTAAACCAGCAGGTGGTGAAAAGTGACCTGTGTCTTTATGAGTGAGTCATTTGAATCATTTGTTCAACTGATTCATTCAAAAAACTGATTCATTTAGAAACTAAACAAGGGTGCTTCTCAAATAGATGACTGCATTCTAGTGTTGTCTTGAATGGCATGATAAAATTGAACAACCTCCGTGTCAATTAGTTTTTTATGTATTGGAATCTGAAAAGATTCTAATCAAATGATTGTGTGCAATTGAATGACGCAAACAGTACATCCTGATGCACACAAAACGAAGGCTGACAACTAAGGATTCTTCAAATTGAGACATCCTTCAACTGAGCTTTATGACGTGGCAGCCTTACAACGATGCGTCTTTCCATTTGAGAAGCACCATTAGCTCTATGAGTCATTGAACCATTCGTTGAACTGATTTGTTCAAAACAATGATTCGTTTAGGAATGAAACACCACTACTGTTTTTACTGTTTTGGTTCTGCACACACAGCAACATCACACTCGTCTTCATGCTGTTGGTCTGAGTTTGCTACTCTGAAATTCAACAGAACACAACAGACATGAAAATAAGACATCCTCCCATGCACTGATAAATAGCAAATGCTGGCAAAATTAATGAAAAGTTTACATGCACAGCAGATAACGTAGGGAATATGAGGAAAGCCCTCCTGCCAGGGTGGTATAGCCCCTGGCAAACTATTAAATC